TAACGTTTAACCCTCCAAGGAAAAGCAAGACTGGGGTTGCGTAATCTGACATATCTGGTTAGTTTGAAGAACTTAATGTAAATTTTTGGGTGAATTTGAGTGAAATTAGTAACATCATTGAGCAGACAAGTTGAGTTGCCTTCTTTTTGAAGGTGGCTCAACACCCTCTCTCTCTTTCAATCTATCAATCAGGCATAGGTAATTGCTACTTAACTTTCTACCTCCGTTCCTCACATTCAATGTATTTCCTAAGCTATTAATTTCAATAGCTTCTCTCATCTTCCTTTTAAACACAGACGTACCATAATCAGCAAACCTCCCTCGTTTCGGGTGAAAACGATGGCTATACGAAAAGCAGAAGATGATTCGAGCAAGATTAGCGAATTTTGGGAATTGGAAAATCCGCATGAAAGAACGAATCGCCTCTCAAGGGTGGAGAAGGTTGCAGAGCCAATTTCCCGACTTGTTGAGTTGCGGACTGAGCATTGTAGGTGGGTTCATATGAATCCTTTAAGTATATCAGCCCAATTCCCGGCAAGTTCCGTACTACAAAGATTTCATAGGGCATGCACACGTTTGTGAATGACTTCGGTAAGTAAGCTTTAACTTGGACAGAGCCGACATAAAACGAACGATAGCTGAGACAATCAAGTGGATGAGAGAACAAGTGATTATGCTTATAAGTAGGCCTGATTTTTTAGCAACATTTTGGAGGAACTATGCATGAAGGTGAATACAAACCGCAATCCATTTGACATTGGCAGGGCACTTGAGGAACAGTCGGGTTTTACTTAAATTGATATGGCTAGGCGCAAGCTAGTCTGGCCTTGCCATCATAAATCAGTGAAGACATACTATGAATGCGCCTTAACAAGTTGATTCTAATGCTATCATATATGCACAGGGCTAGGAGGGCTCTTAAACATTTTGTGAAAGGGTTAAGACTAAGAATTCGACGGCGAGAGTAGTATCCAGACAAACGGGTTAATTCAAGCTATGAATACCAAAATGTTGGGGCCTCTGCTTTGGTAGCAATCTTCTTTCGCTTTACAGAAGCGGTCTTCGCAACTTGGTCGTGGTGTCCGAGCGGCCTAGTTGGATGCACCATGTCCGAAATCCTCTGCTATAGTAGCTATGGTCATTAGGAGAGTTAAACCGTGAACTTCTCAGAATCGTCATTGAGTCGGCTGCTTTAGGCAAAAAGCAAAAGCACGTCGAAGACAAGGCATATCGACGAGTTTAGTTTGACACTAAGTGAAAAGACAACGTTTGGGAAGTATCACTATTATTGTTGCAGAGGACTTCAGACAAGATGCGGCCAACCAGGTCTCCGTGAAGTTGATAAAACGAGGTCAGACCACTTCCACACAGGTAATTCAAGTTCCTATAGTTGAATGAAACTGGGTTTCCGAGAGTACCTTAGTAATTTTACAGTGACAACTTTACAGTTAGAAGGAATTCGTGGCGAAGCCTCGCCGCAAGCCCAAGGAGGATTGTGCGAAAAAGACCTCAGCCACAATGAATCCAAGCTAATCTTTTGTCTGCCCTTAGATGTACATCGCCAGAGCAAGAAACCATGCTTTACGAAATAGCGCAACAATATGCCTTACCTCTTGGTACGCTATCTAGTAAAGTATGGCATACAAATCTAATGTATTTCAAATGCCAGACAAAAGCCTAGCACAAACCAATTGGGTCACAAGACTGAACCTAAGACTTCGTTTCACAATACAGGGCAACCTTCCTTCGGTTTCTGGTGAGATCAGTTTCGAATTCCTTCCAGCCAACGTTTCCTCCTAAATGAAATGTCTTGCCAGAATAATTCAACCTCCACCAGAAATAAGGGATTGTTTACGTACAGCCAGGAATCCTTGCGGCCTCTTACAGCAAGATGTCATGAACCAGCGCTTAAGAACCACCGAGATGCTTGGGAAAATCAGATACATCAGATTAAATGCTTCACTTGTCCGCTTCGCCCGACAATGAAGCCAGCCACCTCCAGTGTCCTATGGATAGACTGTCGGCGGATGTTATGTGAACTAAGACTAAAGCACATGTTCAAAACAACCTGACCCTAAGTCCATGACTCTGACCTCAGTTATCTCACAAGTTTGTGGTAAATGCACAAACCAAAGCTCGTTTGGTAGACAAGACTTAATAGGCTTAATGAGATGC